AATTACAAAATGAAGATATCTCATAACCCTCAAGTAGCTCATTCCGCAAGTTTGTATTCTCAGGTAAGTGGGCGGAATGAAGGGCCATCTGAGAAGAAAGACAGGTTTTCTTTCCACTTGGCACTTCCCAGGCCCAACCCCAGCTGAAACTCACTGCCATTCTATTAACATGGTATGTTCCACTTCTCACATAAAATAAATCTGAAAAAAAATTTAAGCACTTTATCTACCATTTCCCATTTATCTACTTATGCAGGACCCCATGAAGTGTAAGATTCCGAGTCACCTTTGAATCTTCAGTCACTAACAGCATATCAAGCACTGTTAAAGCATTTTACATGTCATACTCTCACATATTCTTTTTTTTTGTTTTTTTTTTTTTAAAGATTTATTTATTTATTATGTGTACAGCATGTATGACTGCAGGCCAGAAGAGGGCACCAGATCTCGTTATAGATGGTTGTGAGCCATCATGTGGTTGCTGGGAATTGAACTCAGGACCTCTGGAAGAGCAGTCAGTGCTCTTAACCTCTGAGCCATCTTTCCAGCCCCAGTTTTTTGTTTTTTGAGACAGGATTTTTCTGTGTAGCTTTGGAGCCTATCCTGGAACTCACTTTGTAGACCAGGCTGACCTTGAACTCACAGAGATCTGCCTGGCTCTGCCTCCTGAGTGCTGAGATTAAAGGTTAAAGGCGTGCACCACCGTCAGCCAGCCTGCTCTTCTTATAGAGCAAGGACAGTCGGGGCTATACAGAAACCTTGTCTCAGAAGAAAAGAATGCAAAACCGAAGTAGGAACTATCTTCAATTGTACAGAAGAGAGTGGGCTTAGTAATGCACGCTTATAGTGCTAGGATAGGGGTGGGGGGCAGGGGACAGGAGGACTGCTGCAAGTTCCAGATACTGACTCAAAGGGGGGGTGGGGCACAGACACACAGACAGACAGACAGACAGACAGACAAAGCATAAGCTTTACAAGTTCATCCTTTCTAGCCTGGAGTGGTGGTGCACACCTTTAATGGGGGAGGTAAATGAATTATCTGTGAGTAGGAGGCCAGCCAGGTCTACAAAGTTCCAGGACAGCCAAGACTATTACATAGAGAAACTGTTTCAGAAGAAAAAAGTTCGGATGGCTCAGTGGTTAAGAGCACTGGCTGCTCTTCCAGAGGACCCGAGTTCAATTCCCAGCAACCACATGGCAGCTCACAACTGTCTGTAACTCCAGTTCCAGGGGATCCAGTACCCTCACACAGGCATACATGCAGACAAAATACAAATGCACACAAAAATAAATTAATCCTTAAAAAAAAAAAAGTTCATCCTAAACCACTGCATTCTACTTCTGCTGAACGAGGTATACTCCCCCCCGCCCAGTAGCATACCTGATGAGTCAAGGGGTAAGACCCACTACCAGATGATGATCTCCATCCCAAGAGTAGTGACTATCACATCAGGGTTTAGAGAGACAACACTGTGACTTCCACTTATATTTTAGCTTACCAATCCTTAAAATGGCAATTTTTACACATTATAAAATGTTCTATCGGGCTGGAGAGATGGCTCAGAGGTTAAGAGCACTGCTTCTTCTTCCAAAGGTCCTGAGTTCAATTCCCAGCAATCACATAGTGCCTCACAACCATCTATAATGAGATCTGGTGCCCTCTTCTGGCCTGCAGGGATATGTGCAGACAGAATACTGTATGCTTAATAAATAAATCTTAAAAAAAAAGAAAGTCATTTATAAAAAATGTTCTATCAATTATAATATGACTATAATTATTGCTTATTTATGAAAAGGGAACAAATCCAGGGCCTTGCCCATGGTGGGTGAGTAGACTACAACTGAGTTACATCCCTAGCCTAAAACAGTAATTTAAAACAAATATTCAGCCAGGCTCACATCTATAATCCCTTCATTTACAGGGCTGAGACAGAAAGCGTACCATAAATTTGAGGGCAACCTGATCTACATAGTGAATTGAGGCAAGCCTTTGCTACAGAGTAAGATCCTACTTCAATAAACAAAATATTTAGAGCTGGAATGAAGCTCAGCGGTAAAAACACTTGCCTAGGGAATGGTAGGCCCTGGTTGTTGTCGTGGTTGTTTTTTGACCAGCACTGCCGAAAAGAATAAAGTGTAAAACAAATATTCATGCATTGTGTGCCAATTCAGCCATATATCCCAATGGAATGACCACCAGAGGACAAAGTGCTACAGTACTTCCCCAGGACTCCAGTCCAGTAACGCAGACTGAGGACTGAGTTCTTTCCTACTTTTCTTTCCCCAGGACTACAAGTTTAAAACACTAGCCAGTTAGAGCACTTGCCTAGCATATACTAGGGCCTGTGTTCCTTCATCACTGAAAAAAAAAAGAAGAAACTGTAGGTAAGCTTCTGGAGCAGCATATGAGCCAATGAAAAGCACAAATGCCAGGCCGGGCGGTGGTGGCGCACGCCTTTGATCCCAGCACTCGGGAGGCAGAGCCAGGTGGATCTCTGTGAGTTCGAGGCCAGCCTGGGCTACCAAGTGAGTTACAGGAAAAGGTGCAAAGCTACACAGAGAAACCCTGTCTCGAAAAACCAAAAAAAGAAAAAGAAAGAGAAAAAGAAAAGAAAAAATGCCTATACGTCCAAGCTCTGAAGAAGCTGAGCCAGGAGGTAGGACTGGTCTAGGCTACAGATATAGTAAGATCCTATCTTAATGAAAGAAAGTACTCAAACCAACCCATTTCAGTGTAATTTTTAAAATTATTCTGAACTAAAGGAAAAGCAGAGTAGGTATGACAGTGCACACCTGTAATCCTAGAAATTCAGGCACATGAGGCAGGATCAAGAGTTGGAGGCCAAGCCAGGCATGGTGGCACACGCCTTTGATCCCACCAGTCAAAGGCAGACAGGCGGATCTCTGAGTTTGAGGCCAGCCTGGTCTACAGAGTGAGTTCCAGGACAGCCAGGGCTGCCCCCCCTCCACCCTCACGCCCCCCCCCCCCGCGCCCCCCCCCTGCCCCCAGCAACATAGGTCCTCAGTTCAACCTCAACAAATTAGTTAACAAACAATAAGCAAGCACACTAAACATACTATTGACTGCCTTATGCAAAGAAACATAGTTACACAACAAACCAAAGTCGTACTTGGCTTTTGTTGTCTTTCCAGACAGCCTCACTACTTAGCTTGAGCTGACCTCAAACTCAGACCTCCCTGCCTCAGCCTCCGGAGTGCTGGGATTACATAGGCTTTCACCATACTCAACCTTTGGGGAATATCTTTAACTGGAAACATAAAAGATATGGAAATTTCTTAGTTCAGCTGGACCTAGTGACACTGGCCTGTATTCTTAGCTACTGGGAAGCTGAGACAGAATTACAAGTTGCCTGGGCAACTTCGTAAGACCCAATCTGAAAACAAAGGCAGCTGGGGATACAGTTCAGTCTACAGCATAAAGTATAAGGCCCTAAATCCAATCTCCAATACTGCCACAAGCATATAAATTTAAATTCAGATAAAAGGTTTTTCCACTTTCCTAATATGAAATTTTTGACAGACCTAACGGTTACCTAGTCTGCCTCCACAAGAACCTCAACAGCATAGGACTACAAAAGGGATTAACAGGTAAACCTTTCTTGTATTTCTTCAATCCAAAGTGGAATGGGTGCCCAAGAAGGAGGCTATATGAATCCTCCCTTGTTAAAGGTTGAAGAACAACCCTCTGGGGGTAAAGCACAGAGTTCTCAATACCTCTCATTTTATTCTCTGCACAATGGACATACTCAAATACCTGATTTTAGTTTTTATTTATTTATTTTTTGAGACGGGTCTCACTATATAGCCCTGGCTGTCTTGGAACTGGCTGTGTAGATCAGGCTGGCCTCAAACTCAGAGATCCACCTGCCTCGAAAGTGCCTCAAATACCTGGTTTTAGATTGTCACTCTGCATAAACAAAGGAAAATCCACAGAACAGTTCACATGAGTCCCCTCTCTAACTCAAATCCAGAGTCTACTTTGTTGCCATATCCTCTGGGCCTAGAGTGATACTTTGTACTTAAGAGATGATTTAATAAATATTAAATGAATCGAATGCAAAATGCCTGGTACTCAAGTAATGTTGGCTATTACTGCTATTTTAATGACAATTAAGTTTTTATTGTTTTTATTAAATGATGCCATCCCTCCTGCAAAGGATCTTAAAATTCTAGGAAGAACATCGGATAAATGAAATCGCAAAACGGGGTAAGAATAAAAACACAACTGGAACACCCAATAATAGGCAAAGATATCTTTAAAAAAAAAAAAAAGCACGACCAGATCCCAATTTCGGACTTTTCCGAGGCGCGCACATAATGATTAATAAACGGCGATTACGATAATGAGTTTTCACACATGTGTGATGTGCAACTGTGTGTGCAGGGCGTTCTCCTGGATTTACTAAACCCAACTACAGGGAAATTCAGACAGCGTTCCTCACGACCCATTTTTCAGACAGAGCAACTGATACTCTGGGAGCACCAAGGTCACACACAGCCTGTACGCCGGGGAGCCGGGACATGAACCCAAGCAGTCTGACCCCAGAGCCTGTACTCAACAGGCCCCTCGAGAACACCAGCCCTGCCGCGTCTTCCAACATCTACCACACGTCGCTCCAAATCCAGCGTGCCTACGTTTTCCCAGGACCGGACTTTCAGCCCCGATGCCGCGAAAACAAAACAATACTTCTCTCGCGGTCCATAGGGCGCCCGCCAGGCCTGAGATCCAAGGCCGCTCAGCACAGTCCCGCTAGCACCCAGAGCCCCGGGTCCCGCTGCGCCGCAGGAAGCGCCGGGGTGGCCCCGGAGAGCCCGCGAAGGCCCGGGGAGTCGCGTGACCTTGGATACAGCGCCCCACTCCCGGCCTCAGTTTCCCTGCCCGGGCCTCCCGCCGGGGGCCTCCGCGGAGCCTCGCGCCTATGGAGCAGCAGGCCCCTCAACACACACCCCTCAGCCGCCCGCCTTCCCGCCCCACTTACGCTGGAAGGCGGCTGCTCCAGGGACGCCCACCATCGCGGAGCGCAGCCTGCCGCCAGCGCCACCCGCTGCGACCCACCGCCCGAGTCCTCCGCAGGCGCAGGCC